CGCCGCCTCTGCGAGGACAGATCTGCACGTTCTCCCCCCCCCCAACAGCTAGCAATCCAAAAGAGTCCAGTGGAGCCTGAGCAGTGAGTGTTGCCTTCTGACACACTTCCGGTGATGTCAGGGGGTGTGGCATATGCAAATGAGTTATGCTAATGAGCCCCTGCACCTCTTTTTCTACGAAATGACCTCTGGCGTGCGGGGTCTCAGCACTGCAACCCTAATCTGAGCGCCCACGTGCAGCTGGGTTTTTTTCCCCCCTGTAAAAAACCACAGTGGAAGATCCATTTACGGATCTCAAATATTAATGAGTAGTTTCCTTAACCTCCAGTGTTTCCTCCAAGGGGATCATGGCAGCATACATCATTTATCCTCTCAACAACCCTGAGGGATTGATTAGGCTGTGAGTATCAAACGGGGTTTGTCATCACCCAGGTCCTGTGGGGGTCCCCCTGGTTTTGAGAGCTCCAACTTGCTATCAGCCAACCGGCCAATGGGGAAGCCCCACCCCCAAGCCCGACCGCCGGCAGCCACCCACCTGCCTCCCCTCCTGCAAGTTTTAAAGGGCCCTTCAGCTGATTGGCGGGGGAGAACACGGCCCGCCGATCAGCTGGAGGGCCTTTTAAATCTTGCAGGAGGGGAGGGAGAGGGTCACGTGCCACCACCTCCCCCCCCCACTTCTTCCCAAAAACATTTAAAGGGATCCTGTTGCCACCCCTCCTGGAACGTCCCCCAGCGTCCCCTGCTGGGGACCCAGAAGGACCTGGCAACCAGCCCAGGGTCACCCATTGAGACTTATGGTGATTACAGCAAGGGTCGCCAACCTTTTTCAGTGCATGGGCACCTTTGGAAATCTGACACAGTGGTTGGCGGGGCAGAACGTACCCACTCTGGCCTGCAGGCCTCGTTTCTGCCCTGCCCCCCTAGGGGGCTCCCCAGTCCCTGGAGGGGCTTTTCCTTTTCTCTAGGGTAACCTGCCACCTCCACCTGATCAATTCAGGGATTTCTCACTGAGGGGATCAGGACCCTCTGCTTCCTTTCCCAGCTGCCAACAGGAACAGCTCCCTGCTTTCCCTCCTTTTCCTTCCCATGAACAGCTCCCTGCGCCCTCCCTCTCCTCTGCTGCCAACAGGAACAGCTCCCTGCCCTCCTCTAAGTGACAACCCTTCAGATCCTTCAAGAGAGCCATCCTGTCCCCCCCTCAGCCTCCTCTTCCCTAGACTGAACATTCCCAAGTCCCTCAGCCTTTCCTCCTAGGGCTTCTTGGTCTCCAGGCCCCTGATCATCCTCGTCTCTCTCCTCTGCACCCTGCTCCATTCCATCCACATCCTTTTTGAAGTGAGACCTCCAGAACTGCACACAACGCTCCAGGTGCCTTGCCACAGTGTCTTCCACTAGCCCAGTGCCTCGTGACCACAGGGACAGTCTACGGCTTTGTGTGCCCCTGGAGGAATAGCCAGGTGCCAACTGCTTGCCTCCCTCACCCGGGGGCTCCCTTTTTAAAACAGCATGTCCAAAATGGTAGAGGTCTGTATGGAACCGCTCCTCACATCAACCGTTTTAAAATATTTGTTTTAAAATATTTGTTTTAAAAGACCACTTCCCCATGAGTTCCAAGGTGATTCCTGCTCACATGGTAACCAAACCAGACATTGTATATAGGTGTTTTATTTCTAAAAAATTTAAAAAGCCAAATGATTAACTTCCCAGTACATTCTGTTAGGCCCAAGAGCGAAAAAATAACAAAACTAATTCACAACATAAAATATAAAATTCCTGCAGTGAAGATGGTAAATCTTCTATGAACAACCTGATAATAGGAAACAGAAGAATAATCAAATTATGGCAAAATACAGTGTATAAACGTAAGCATCGGGTACAGACTAGGGATGTGCATTCGGTTTGTCTGAACCGAATGCACCCCCGAAAATGGCCCATTTGGGCCCCTTTTGGGCTGCTGCGGGTCGATTCAGATTGTCTGATCTGAATCGGCTTGCTGCCGAATTGCCGCCGAATTTCTTTTTTCCCCACCATAGAGAACAATGGAAGGGATAGGGGCAACCTGTTTGAGGGCCCGTAGAATTGGACCCCCTGGTCCAATGTTCTTGAAACTTGGTGGGTGTCTTGGAGAGAGGCTCCAGCAGCTACCCTGTGAGTTTGGAGCCTCTCCTTCAAGCCCTGTCCTCTCCAGCCCCCTAGAATATACCCTATGTTTTCACCATTGACTTCAATGGCCCATAGGATATAATGGGGCCGAAACTGACATTCAGCTGGCCAAAAGTCTCCCAAATCCTGTACTGCCGAAATTGACATACAGGAGTCTTTCTGCCTGGCAAAATTGATTCTGCTGGCTTCGGCCGAGTCCAAATCCGGCCGGATTTTTTTTGTTTTTTGTTTTTGTTTTTGCAGACCTCTAGTACAGACATCAGGTAGATAGACAAAGGGAAAAACAGACGAGAGAGAAAAAAGGGAGCCCCTATGCCTAATTATAGAGTTTGGCCTACAGCATCAGATGATACACCAACCAATGAGACCCTTCTCCCTTAGGAATCTTCCAGAAAACACTCGCACATACTCCTCCTTCCCCTCCCCTCACATGCTTTGACCACAGCCAGGCCTGGTTTTCAAAAATAACTCCTAGTTAACAGGTTCCACTGCCCAACCTTGGAAGAGATAAGGACCTACCATTCCCAAGCCAGGGGCACCTGCTCCGCCCAACTGGGCCCTCTAAGACTCAAGTTAAGCCCTTGGTGGAGTAGGAATGAGGGTACAATTGCCTCACACTCTGAGTGTCTCAAGTGAATGAACCCTGGAGAAGCACTGCCAGTCAGAAGCGGTCTGATCTGGTAGAAGGAAGTTTCATACATTCATCCCGCTTTCAGATTGCCCAGGTTTGAAATGCCACAGCATTTCTTGCGGTTGTCGTTAACTAGGTATGATGCGGCCATTGTTCTGGGATTTATTTAGGGTTGCCAACCTCCAGCTGGTGGCTGGAGATCTCCTTGGATTACAACTGTTCTCCAGGCAACAGAGAACAGTTTACCCGAGGAAATGGCAGCTTTGGATGGTGGACTCTATGGCATTATGCCCCAGTGAAGTCCCTCCCCTCCCCAAGCCCCACCCTCCTCAGTCTCCACCCCCCAAATCTCCAGGTATTTCCCAACCTGGAGCTGGCAACCCTAACTGTATACTTTTTCCTAATCTCGCATGCAAATCCTTGAAGCAAAGACACTTGGATTACTACAACCAGTGTTCCCTCTAAGCTAGCTCACAGTTAGTGTGAGCTAGCTCACAGTTTTTCACCCTCTGGCTCACACATTTTGTCTTAGGTCAGGAAGGAGGGCTCCAGAGCAAACTATATGCAGTAGCCAAATCACCTGCCTGCTCACAACTTTAATGCCGGTAGCTCACAAAGTAGAATCTTTACTCACAGGGCTCCACAGCTTAGAGGGAGCATTTTCTTTTTGGCCCCCCAGAGGGGATTTTTTATTGCATTTTTTAATTAAACTACAACGAAAATAGGGAAAGGGGTCTACATTTAAGGAGAAAGAAAAGAATAACCACTACTAACTAAAAACCCAAGAGAGGAGATAATTACAACTGTTTTAGTAAAAAGTTTTTCTTAAAACGCTAGTATCTTTTGAACTTAGTCAGACATGCTAAGATATCTTTTAAGTCTTAAATTTAACTATTAGAGAAAACCCCCAGAGCATCTCATTATTAAAAACTATACTTTCAAAGGCACAAATCAGAGTCCTTCAGCCTTCATTTTTTCTTATCTTGTCTTTTCCTCAGTTTGTATAGACTTTTAGGGGCAGTCGCCCCTTTTTCAGAAAGAGAGTCCTCCCCGGAAGACCCCGAGTCCAACTCGCCACTGGACTTGCTGTCCTTCTCCTCTTTATCCGCCTCCTCTGGCTCACCCATCTGGATTCTCAAAACCTGCCGTGCTTTGGAAACAGAGTCAATCTTTTTTTTTTGTACTGAAGTTTGAAGGTTACGCCCTCCAGAGTTAACCACCTGTACACGATTGTATTTGATAGAAGAAAAAGAATTAACTCTTTATATTTCTTTCTCCGTTGTCTTATTTCAAGTATGATGTCTTTCAAAATTCTAATAGTATTGTCCCCAATTTTCAAAGGTGACCCTGCTGTCGTTTTCAGGATAGAATCCCTCATGTGCCTCTTCGAAAATCTGATTATTATTTCCCCAGGCAGATTATTTTTCTTTATGTATACAGACTAGGACCTGTACGCCACATCCATCTCACTCATAAGGTATTCCACCTTGAAATCTGTCACTGGGGCCAATGCTTCGCTCATTATTTGCTTCAGATTTTCACCTTTGGATTCTGGGACACCTTGGAATTGGAGGACCAGGTTTGCCTTCTCCATTTGCAGCTGCAAAAGTTGTTCTTCTGTGGAAACTTGCTTCTTTTCCAATTTTTGCACCTTTTTCTTTACCTTTTGAGTACTGGCATCAACTTCTTTCACTTTCTCAGCTGTTTGCTCCGTAATCTTAAGAGTCTCATTCAATTGTAGCTGCTGAGTAGTGATGCTTTGGTTCATCGTTGACAACTGTTCCTTGAGATTTGTCATCTGGTCCAGCAGGGGGCGCAGGGATTCTGCCAACTTTTCAGCCAGCTCGATGGTTCCTTCCGGGCGAGGGCTCTCAACTACTTTTGCTTTTGAAATCTTTTCTTTCTCCGTCCTCTTCCCCGCCATCTTTATGGATTGTTTACTCTCTGAAAGCTTGCTAAAGTCTCTGAATATGTGCTCATATGCTCATCCGCGCCCTAGTAAGTCTCTCCCAATAGATTTCAACGCTTTTACTTCCACTCCCCCCTCGGTTTTCGCTTTTTATTTCATGCGCATGGGAGGGGCCCCTCCCCTGCTCGCTTTACTCTCTAGTCCGTGGGGTGGGAGCTTTCTTTTTAGCTTGTCAATTGCGCTCTATTCCAACTCACAGCTCATGGTCGTTCTTTCGACCTCGCTGTAGCTCCGTTTAAACCGCTCGATCTCCAGCGCTTGTCCCGGCCAGCGTCACTAGTTCCATACGGACACACAGCAGGAGGACCGTCAGGACGGAGAAACCCCTCAATTCCCCAGCATCGTGCTGGCGAAGAGGCCACCTCTCAAAAGTCCCATGGCTAGGAGCCTTTCAACCAGGCTCCGGGGGGGTAGCGAGACGTCGCCCCCCCTTTCTGCTGGTGTGCAGATTTCATCCCTGGGAGGTCCGGGAGATGAGTCTGCTCAGTGTGTCGCCATAAACCGGAAGCAGCTTAGAGGGAGCATTGATCGCAACAGAGCTTTACTAATTTTTAAAACTGTTGTATGGTCTTATTTTCAACCAATTTATCATTTCTTTTTAACATGACTTCCTGTTAGCGTTCTTTTTTTGAGAGCAGAAAACCTGGCCTTTGTCAACAAGTGGTTTTAACCTGTTTACAGCCACAGTCAGCGAAAGCATTCCGCTGCATTAAGTGAAAAAAAGATTCCTAGTGGAATATTAACATGGCAAGATAATGGGTAGCAGGAACAGATAATTTCTTTTACAACTCTCCTGTTTCTTGTCTTCTGGCACTGGCTGATTGTTTTACGGTGCCATTTTAAGGTCACGTACCTCAGAGGAAACTCCTTTCAGATCCCAGATCAGTAGATCTTCCTCTAGAGCTGCACTCAAAATGAAATGCGGAGCCAAGAAGCTCGGAGTTGACAACCATGTGGCAATTTAAGTCTTCTTCTATAGAGATTACATGAACCTGGCATGCCTGAGTTAGTGTGAACTAGCTCACAGTTTTTTAGCCTCTGGCTTACACATTTTTGTCTTAGCTCAGTAAGGATGGCTCCAGAGCAAACTAATTTATGCAGTAGCCAAATCACTTGCTCACAACTTTAATACCAGTAGCTCACAAAGTAGAATTTTTGCTCACAAGACTTCACAGCTTAGAGGGAACATTGATGGTGACCATAGAGCTTTTGGCCAAATGCTAGAGCGTCCCCTGCATGACATGCCCGGCGCAATGATGCCACTTCTGGGAGGTCTCATTGTGGTGCATGCCAGAAGATCCAGGGGAGCAGGCTGGGGCGCCCCGTTGGCAGAAGGTAAGGACCTGCCAACCCTAACGTGATTCCTTTTGTTAGGACCAACCCAAAAGACACAAAACACTGTGTGAACATTGAAGCTTATCAGAACTCCTCATCTGGCTAGATATTGCAAATATTAAAAAATGAAGGCTGGAAAAAAAGCAGATTTTCCAGGTCAGGATCTAAGGATCCTGTCTTGTCAGCCTTTGGCGTCAGATGCTGACAGGCTCACAGACACTATTTTGAATGTTGTGGGTTATTCAGTGATCGCACTTGTGTTCTGGAAAGGAGAAACAAACAATGGAGGGCCATCTCACTGGGAAAAGTAGTTACCGCCCAGCAAGGTCCAGATGTCACTTAGAATCCCATGCAAGAAGCAGTTTCGGCCGCAAGGCAGCTTCATGTGTTCCTCGGACATCGCTATAAACCAAGTGGGAGCTTAAGACAAATCTCAGGGAGAGAAAAGACTGCAAAATCACCACCATCACCTCTAGCATAACTGCATGGGGTGCCTAAATTCTGGGGCTGACTGTGCAGCTGTCAGGAGTCTAGCATTCTGGTGCAATTCTCGTATAGCATCTAGATTGTCGGTTGGTGGTGCAGGATATTATTTATCTAGCTCTCACCTTGAGTGGAAAAAGCACAGCAGGGGGTATTCTTACCTCTCTGTCACCATGCTATATGGCAGGAGGCATTCAGGGTAATGATCTAGGCTGGGGAAAACAGCAGCAGGGAAGCTGCCAAGGTTGGCAGTGGCAGCAAGGAGACTGGCACCAGAGCAGCTGGCTCACTCAATAGGGTTGCCAGGTCTCTTCTTACCTGTGGCAGGGAGCTCCCAGCTCCTTATTGGGTAACCGCAGAGTTTCTCCTCGAATGCTAGAGTGTCGCTGTGCAACGGCCCAGCATGATGACATCACTACTGGTGACAGCATCGTGTCAGCAGCATCCCCATGGGCCAGCCGGTGGTGAATTGGGGCCCCCAAAATCAGGCGATCCCCTCCCCCCCCCGGGAGGGGGGATGACATCGCTATCACTCAACGACAGCCGGGCAGGGCCTGGCCTGGCAGCAGGCTGACTCGCCACTGGCATCCTGGGCCTGGACCTGCCCCCAGATGGGGAGGGGGAAGGAGAAGAAGGCTGCTCACAATTAGACCCACACAGGGCAGAAGTAGGATCCTTTGGTAGTCGTTGGGAAGCCCCATTGGTCCTGGCTGCAGTCAGGTAGGCAGGCCTTACCCCAGAGATAACGGGATTGGAAGAGCCAGGGGACATCCCTCCCCCAGGAAACCCTGGGAGACGAGGGAAGAGCTGGGGAGAAAGGGCCAGGCCACTTCCCTGGCCACGAGGAGAAGACCATGGCAACAAGAAGAGACAGAGCTGGGTGTGAGCAAATCCAACTCCTTCTGGTAACCGAGGGCTTTTCAAGGCCCGCCAGGAGAAAGGGGAATGCTTGAGGACACTATAAGTCCCTGGACTCTGTCCCTATGACAAAGTAGTCGGACTCTCTCATATACACATAATTTATTGACTCAGGCTGGGCACGCTGGACTAGATTGCTGTGCACCAATCACACTGGATGCACCCTGTGCACCAATCACCTAGCTAGGGCATGGAGGATTGAATCCAGAGGCTCCCCCTTTTAGGATTGCCAGCTCCAAGTCGGGGAATTCCTGGTGATTTGGGGGTGGAGCCTGGAGAGCACAGGGTGTGAGGAGGTGAGAGACCTTAGTGGGGTACTGTACTGGCTTACAGGCCCTGAGTATCAGGTGCCAGAATTCAGGAAAAGCACAGTCGTTCAGTCGAAGGTTGGAGGTCCAGAAGTCAGGCAAGGCAGAGTCTTTGGCTCCTAACCTGGAAAATCTGCTTTTCTCTATCATACACATTGCTTAACAGCCTCTCTTGGCTGGTTTTGTAGCCGTACGCCTAAGGATCATGCTTGTAACCAGTTGCTCAGAAGCAATCCTGCAACTACTCATCTTTGTTATCAGCAAGCAGCCGGTGTTGAGCCAGGAGGTGTGCACTTTGCCGTCTTGTCTGTAGCTCTGTTCTCAACCTCCGTCTGCGGCGCTCTAAGAGTGTAGGTGATACTGGTGGGCTGGGAATGGCCAACTGAGGTTCACCTGCTGAATCTGGGCTGGAGGATGTCAAGGTGGCTCTGCACCAGTTGTTGGCTGTGAATCCTGACAAGCCTGCAGCTCATTTTCCTGCTGGTCAGCTTCTGTTAACTCAAGGCGCCTCCTCTCCAGAGGAGTCCTCACTATCACTGAACCCTGGCTGACTCACAACAGGTACAATGCCATAGAGTCCACCCTCCAAAGCAGCCATTTTCTCCAGGGGAACTGATCTGTGTACTCTGGAGATCAATTGTAATTCCAGGAGATCTCCAGGCCCCTGTCAGCAAGCTGCCATTCCTAACAAAATGTCCGATTCCCCATGCATTCGAAATAAATCCACGTTTGAAGAACAAAGTTAAATTTATTATAAAGCGATGGTTAGATCAGGAACACAAGAATTGTTAGGAATGACTACAAGCCTCATAGGGAAACATAATAAAGGAACTTGAACCAGGTTAGGGCCAATGAGTCCACTTCCCGCTGTAGGGAAGGCAGATAAAACTAGTGCCCAATTCCTTGGGAACACAACGGTTCTACAACATAAACACAAGTTCAGTTCTCAGGCATGAGATACATAATAAGCTAAGCAACGCCATAACTCCATCCCACCTCCAGCTGGTTGACCTTGAGCAGTTCCGCAGATGTAGCAAGCAAAAGACAGTAAACACCTACACAGGAGAATACAGGGGGGGATGGACAGGGCACAATGTAATATGCAGAAAAGAACACACCACCTTATGGCAGCTTGCTGACAGCCCCTCACCTGGAGGCTGGCAACCCTACACCTTTCTCCTTGCACTGCTGACAACTGGTGTTAGGACAGATTACCTCTTTGTCAGTCCTGCATGAACAGCTTCCCACTGTTTATTAGGAATCTTTGAATCAAGGGTTTGGATGCTGGTGTCATCTTTGAATGGGTAAGCGCCTTAACATATTTGTCCTCATTCACATCCAGATATTGACTTCATATTATTGTGCTTTGCAGCAGTCTTTCAGCCCCCTGCATTATCATTGCCCGAAGAAGCTCAAGCTGAACATTCTTCCACAGAAGAAAATACTAATGAGACCAGCTCAGCCCAGCAAGAAGAGCCTACTGTTACAAATAATTCAGAAGATAATGGCCTAGGTTCTCAAGGGACTTGCTCCAGCAGCTGAAAATATGGTTTCCCCAAAAAGCATCTTTCTGATGGCATCCAAAGAAAAAAATCATCCCTCCTTTTCAGGCAGTGGCAGAAGGCCCCCTACATTTTTCATGGGGGTGGAGGAAAAGATCCGTGTTGCACTGCAGAAGCGGGTTGTGATGCCGACAAAGCACTCCATGCTCCCCACAGTCTTGTTTGACGGAGTTTGGAGCAGCTTTGAAGACTTCACCCAAAGTTTGTTGGCCAAGATGAAAGACTGATTCTGGGAAGAAAGGCATTTAAACATAGGGGTCTCCTTCAGCAATCAAGTTAATTTATTCTCAAATTCAGAAACTGTCTAGAGGTGAAATTAATCAGCGGGGAAAGGGATTTCTGTTCCGTTTAAAAGTGATCAGGAGGGTTTTTTTCCCATTAAGTGACCTAATTTGGATTTATCAGGACTTGCCTAGACAATCAATCAAAACGTATGCGCACCTCATTTTAGGTTTCGTGGGATGCCAAGCGCAACTGCGGTTTCTAAAGCAACAGCATGACATCTTTTGCACATGGAAGAGACAAGTGGTAACAATATTCCCTCTAAGCTGTGGAGTCCTGCGAGCAAAAATTCTACTTTGTGAGCTACGGGCGTTAAAGTTGTGAGTGAGCAATTTGGCTACTGCATAAATTAGTTTGCTCTGGAGGCAAAAAATGTGTGAGCCAGAGGCTAAAAAACTGTGAGCTAGCTCACACTAACTCAGCTTAGAGGGAACACTACCGGGAGATCGTCTTCCCTGCATTTTGGAAAATTAAGAAAGGCAGTTGCTTAAAGAACTGTGGAGGAAAGAAGTGATTAACACTACTCTGGGAACTGAAGGGAATGCTCAAAAAATCATCACGCTGTCCACAGAATGGCTGAGCATTGCTCCTGGGGAAGGAGGCAGCCTTGCTTGTTTTTACAGTTTCTAAAGAGCTTACATGAGTATTCTTGCACGTCCATCAGTAAAACAATGCAAACACTTTTACCATTTCAGTTTTAAAAGTCTGAACAGTGAGGAGAAAATGACATCAAATCTCCAGTTGGTTTCATAAAGAAACATCTTGTAAGTATTCAGGCACTTGCCTAAAAAATGCTCCCTTAAAGCCCTTGTAGCTGTAGCTGAAGAAATACTCGCTGGCCCTTTCCTGGAGGTAAAATATTATCGGTTGTCTCCACCAGGGGGTACTATTGATGCTGCTGGGGAAAACCCACACATATCCCAAGGAATGCATGGGTTTCCTTAAACAGCACCCCCAGGAACAATGCTCCCTCTAAGCTGTAGAGTCTTGGGAGCAAAAAGTCTACTTTGTGAGCTACTGGCATTAAAGTTGTGAGCGAGCAACTTGGCTACTGCATAAATCAGTTTGCTCTGGAGCCATCCTTCCTGAGCGAAGACAAAAATGTGTGAGCTGGAGGCTGGAAAACTGAGTTAGCTCACACTAACTCAGCTTAGAGGGAACACTGCGCCAGGAACCATTTCAGGTTGGGAAAATGGCAGAGAGAATGGCTGAAACCCCTTCTCCATGTGCACCGTGGCCCCGATCTCAACTGGGAGTTGCCCGCACAGGAATTGAGGAGAACCCACAACTCCCACCGGATTGTGTTACATCGGACACCAGGTGGGGACATGGATGCAGCCAATGTGAAAAGGCCTTTAAATTCCATGTAAAGGTACAGACATTTTTTCAGAGCAAAACCCCTGGAATAATCCCAACTGAGATGAAATTGAAGGGATCAACTCATCCTTCTCCTGCAGCGCTTTCAACCAATTCCACACAAATGCTCCTGAAGAAGACGAAGCGGCACCTTGGAAGGCCATGGGCTGATGCACAAGCTCTTGGGCCTCCGTACTGCAGCCGATACCCTCCACTAGGCAAAAGGAATTTCTCATAAAGTGTACTTCTCTTGCTCTGCTTTGTATACAATAGTAAATTAAAATTATTTTTCTATGGGTATAAATGTGCTGCCTAATCTGAATGTTATATCCCCCCCCCCCAGGTTCTTGTAATAAGTCCACTTTTCACCCCATACCTTGCTGTTGGAACCAATCTATTTATTTATTTTATTTTTTTATTTACATTCGACTTGATATCCCGCTCTTGTCCCATGGTTAGGGTCTCAGAGCGGCTTACAGGGTTTTCTGGTGCAAATCACCCTTGTTCCCTAGCTAGGGCCACAGTGTATGAAGGGGGGTGGGGCAACCTACCGGCACCCCCTCTGTGGTGGCTATTGTTGGTGTTTCTTCCGTCAGCTCGGCATGGTCGGGTCTCTGGGCCAAGCGGGGTTGTTCTTCTCTGGCGTTCCTTCTTCGGCGTTCTTCTAACCTTTATGCAAGGACGTACGATAAGAAGAAGAAAAACCAGGGAAACATTTTAAGTTGCCTAAAGGTAAAGGTAAAGGCTTCCCTTGCTTGAAAGCCAGTCGAGTCCGACTCTAGGGTTGCGGTCAATGTTCCCTCTAAGCTGTGAAGTCTTGTGAGCAAAACTTCTACTTTGTGAGCTCCTGGTATTCAAGTTGTGAGCAAGCGATTTGGCTGCTGCATGAATCAGTTTGCTCTGGAGCCATCCTTCCTAAGCCGAGACAAAAATGTGTGAGCCGGAGGCTAAAAAACTATGAGCTAGCTCACACTAACTCAGCTTAGAGGGAACCCTGGTTGCAGTGCTCATCTCCGTTTCAAAGCCGAAGAGCCAGCGCTGTCCGAAGATGTTTCCGTGGTCATGTGGCTGGCATGACTAAACAAGGCGCACGGAACGCTGTTACCTTCCCACCGAAGCGGTACCTATTTATCTACTTGCAATGTCTTGCTTTCAAACTGCTAGGTTGGCAGGTTGCCTAGCGATGAGAAAAAGAGAAAAGTGAATAGATGTATATAACAAGCAGCATCCACTTCTCATTTCTGGCTCCACTAGGAAAGACTATGGCCCTTTCCGCGCACACTCCTCTTAATCCATGTTCACCGCAGTGTCCTCCAAGCAATTCCGCACTAAAATCAAATTCAACCTTCTTTTTAATCCAGGTTTCTCCCCCCCTTTCTGTACTAAAATCAAGTTCAATCTTTTTATTCCGGGTCCCCCCCCCCATTCTGCATCACATGACCTCCCTTCAGTGGGTCAGCCCGGTTTCAGCCTGCTGTTGCCCCGGGTTATTTGGATGCTCAAGCACGGGAAGGTACGGGGGGGCTGCAAAGGAAAGGAGCATGGTTGGCTGCCTCCTGCCATGGATGGCAGGATTGTGCCAGAAGCAGCCCCCCTGAGAAAAACACTGCCCCCCCCCAGCAAAAAGTTGTTAGCTACAGGGCTGGAGCCAATCCATCTCATGCTGGGTCTTCCTCTTGTCCTGCTGCCTTCAACTGTTCTCGACTCGAACACTGAGAAACTCCTGCAAATGCAGAAGGGACCGGCAGCTCTGTTAAGTGCTGTCAAGTCACTGCAGACTTATGGCAACCTATGAATGAATGACCCCCAAGACGTCCTGTCAGTAACAGCCTTGCTCCGGTCTTCCCAACTGGAGGGCCTTCGTGGTTTCCTTGAGTGAGCCAATCAGGGCCGTAGCTACCATGGGGCCCGCCCCCGACGGTTTTTATGGGCCCCTCCCTCAGTCCTCGGCTCCCCTCCCTCCCCCACGGCCCCCTCACCCACTTTTTTATTTTGTTCTCCTGTGCCCCGCATCGACTCAAAAAGGTGCAGGCCGTGGTGGGACTTTGATTGCTACTATTTGGCTTCCCCCTCCCACTGACTTCTCCTTTCTTTCTGGGCTGGTGCGTTGAGGGCTCACGTTTTCATTAGGTGCGTTAGCCATGGAAACGTGCCTTCGCGTCTGCTCTTAGGAAAAGATTGACCACAGGTTATGCTCCTCATCACTCTGAACTCTCTAGACCTGCCATGGGATCGGGGTCTCATTTCTCGCCATCAAAAGCATCTAATCCACGTTCCTGATGCTTTGAGACAAGGTTCATTGCCGCAGAGTGGAAAGGGCGGCAGGTTTGTCCCCAGTGAGGATAACGAAGCCTGGGACACCTAATTGATGGCAGGGTTGCCTCCGGAGTGACGCAGGGCGCCCCCTCCCCCCCCCAAATCCAGCAGTCTGTATCTTTCGGAGGCGGGAGGTCACCAGCAGGGGTCATTTCCTGCAAGAGCGCACAGGAGCGGAGCTCCAGCAGTAAAGAGCCCAGGGGGCGGGCACATGTGACAAGCCCCACCCCCTGCTCCCAGCAGCCCTCAGTCAAAGCAAGAAGCAGCCAGGTAAGTTGCAGAGCCCTCCGGCCCAAAACAGTCCAGTGGCACCTTTAAGACCCAAGTTTTATTCAGGTACAAGCTCTCCCTCCTCTGCGAGGACAGATCTGCACGTTCTCCCCTCCTCCAAATAGCTAGCAATCCAAAACAGTCCAGTGGAGCCTGAGTGGTGGGTGTTGCCTTCTGACACACTTCCGGTGGTGTCAGGGGGTGTGGCATATGCAAATACGTTGTGCTAATGAGTTATGCTAATGAGCTCCTGCACCTCTTTTTCTACGAAATGACCCCTGGTCACCAGGGAGTTTCAATACAGGCGGCCAAAGTCCCAGACTCGCATAAACCACTCCCCGCCCAGCAGAATCTCACACCTCTCCAACAGCATGTAGGCAGTGCTCAAGCACGGGAAGGTACGGGGGGGCTGCCTGGTGCTAACCTTCCCTTTTGAGTGCAAAGGAAAGGAGCATGGTTGGCTGCCTCCTGCCATGGATGGCAGGATTGTGCCAGAAGCAGCCCCCCTGAGAAAAACACTGCCCCCCCCCAGCAAAAAGTTGTTAGCTACAGGGCTGGAGCCAATCCATCTCATGCTGGGTCTTCCTCTTGTCCTGCTGCCTTCAACTGTTCCTAACATGATAGTCTTTTCTATTGAGCCTTGTCTTCTCATTAGGTGACCTAAGCATGATAGCCGGATCATTTTAGCTTCAATGGAGAGTTCAGGATTGATTTGATCTACGAGCTAACTATTTGCCCTTTTTGGAGGTGCCTCCTCCAACACCACATTTCAAATTAATCTCCTTTCTTCCTGTCAGCTTCTTTCATTGAAAGTGCAAAGAAATTGGGGCTTCCGGTCGGGTGGTAATGGTGAATTGACACATTCTGTGAGTCGGCAGAGTGGACGGCATCTGTTTTTGACAGTTTGGGCAATCTAGCCCAACGCAGCAGCCCCCAGGCAGGGGGATCTGACAAGCAAGCAACTTGTTCCAAGTGGGAGTTGAGTTTGGCGTGTTACCAGCCTCGGAGGAGGCTTACGGCGCGCTTTGAACTCCTCCCCCGAAGCGGACGTTTGCATTCCAGCTCTATAACAGATAGCCGAGCTGATTTATCAGCATAAATCCATCATCGCCCGATTTCTTAAGAATGAAGGAACAATAGATCGAATAAGAAGCAGTGCGAAAACCCGAAGATTAACAAGAAAGGTAACAAAGCCGTTTTGCTTACCGGAGA